GACCAGCCTGGCCAACATGGTGAAACCCTGTCTCTACTAAAAATAGAAAAATTAGCCAGGCATGGTGGCGTGCACCTGTAGTCCCAGCTACTCGGGAGGCTGAGGCAGGAGAACTGCTTGAACCCAGGAGGTGGAACTTACAGTGAGCTGAGATCACGCCATTGCACTCCAGCCTGGGTGACAGAGCAAGACTCTGTCTCAGAAAAAAAAAAAGTCTCATGCTTAAATCCTGAGTGTGACAACCATGTGAGCTTTTGGTGAGATTTAAACTTTCAAAGGCACTATTTTCTTATTGGCTACATAAGAATAACAATTTTCACCTTGCCAGTTTGTAGTGAAGCTTTCAGATAATGAATATAAAGGAACTGGTATAGACCATGGCCCATGGTAGGTGCTCAATAAATACCTTTATAAAGAAACAAAGATATTGCAATTCTGATATGATGGCTGCCTTCTTATTTAGAAGACTATTCTGCTTGTTTTTCTTTTTATTCTAATTTCTTTGGATTTATAAGCATCCCCACGGCTCTTTCAAACCAAGGATCTTCACAGATAACAGCATCTAGGGAATCTTTCTCTGTTCTCCTAAAACTAGCACTTATTTTTAACGGTGGTCTTATATTCTATAAAAATATTAAAATAACATCTTCATATGTAATATTATATATGAGGGAAAGAGACATTTAAGCCAGTGTTCACACTCGACCATGTTCACACTCTTAACCATGTAGAGACTCATGACTTTGACTCTTATTTTTGCCTTTACTCAGGCTCTGACTGCAGGTAAGAATCAGTTTTGCCTAAATTTCAATTGCCTGGGAAAGATCCTCAATAACGGATGTCTACACAAAATTGTGAATAAATACTCCTGTGAAAATAAGGGTAAGTCTATATGTTTACATGATAAAGCAGATAATTTCAGAGTATAAACACAGTTGTGTTTTGACCTCTCTTCCTTTTGCCTTAAATATATTTATTTGTGTCTGTGTGTGTATTTATATATATATATAAAGTTGCCAACTGTGATCCACCACTGCTGGAGCAAATCCAGAACTAGAATTTCGTCTCCTGGCCTTCAGCCCAAAGTTCATTACAGTCTCATTCTAAAAACAAGTACTTCACACTGATTGCATTTCTACACACACATATGTAGATTCCTGGACATTCTTTTGTTTTTCTTTCATTTATGTTCTCAATGCTGAACCTTTATTAGAATTACATCACCACCGTGGTTCTTTAAATAAGAAACAAAACTCTGTCACAACATCTGAGGAAATTATCTTTTAATGTTCCCAAGCTCTGTGCCTTAGAAAAAAAAACATCCTCTGCTGTTCAAGAAGAATAGGTCCAGAACAAGCCCCGAAAATAAATTGAGAAAGCTCATCTTACTCACAGGAGGAAAGGATCATGGCAGCCCCTTCTGCAGGGAGCACACAACAGTCTTCAGTTCTTCTGCGGTGCTCCACTCACAAAAACACATCTTTCAACTGAAATCATAGTTCGCTCAAGATGTTTCTCACGGGCAGAGTTAACCCCACCTATTTTCCTGTTCTGAAAACCTCAGAAGAGTATAAATGACAACCAATGGCCTATATAAGAAAGCTCAGTAATCTCCATCCCAATCTCTGAGGGTGTCTGCTATTAGTCTCTCATCCCCAAAGGTGTGGGTGACTCGCAAACATCATTTTCAAGAAATCACAAAATTTTGGTAAAAGGCACCTTTAAAATCATCAAGTCAAACTGCCCTCTCTGGACTGGGAAGGAAATGGAGGCACAGACAGAATAAGGGACTTGCCCAAGGCCACACTGTGAGTGGCAGAAACAATTAGATTCTAGGCTCTGGAATATTGAGTTTAGAATGTTCCATCCTCCCACTCAGCAGACACTTTATTTGGGCGAAGTTAATCTAGTAATAACCCTAAAATGTGATTGGGGGATGACTGAGAAATATAAAAACACCAACAATACAAAACACACTTGGGAGTTTCACTTCATCCCACTGGAAAGCATAACTATGTGTTAACTAATGAACAGAACAACTTTTTTTTTTTTTTACATAAATTAACCCATTTATTATAGGCCAGTGATGTCTCAAAGAGTAGAGGAGCATCTACTGGTCTTTCAACTCCTTCAGTCTTCTGATGGCGGACTTTATCATGACAGCGGATGTGGTATTGTATGTCCAGGCACTGCCAGCCACTGTCTTCATGCAGGAACCACAGTGCCAGATCCCCACAGCTCGTCTCTTCATCTTGGTTTTGCCACAGAAAGAGCAAGTGTACTTGGTGTGCTGGCTGATTTCAATTTTCTTCACCATTTTCTGGAGGGAGGCCCCATAGCGGGTCCCGTATTTACTGACGATCCAACCTTCTTAGTACGTTTGGCCATCTTGCCACGAACAAGTTCCGAGCCCAGAGAGCAACAGAACAACTTTAATGAAGACACAGCATATTCCCATTGCCCTTCCAATCTCCTGTTTAGATTAGGGTCTCCTTAGCATTCTGGGTGATGACTGTTATTTTTACTTCCCCTTCTGCCTTAGTTATGCTTTCGTATAAAAGCTTTTTTTTTTTTTTAAGTCTTAGTGAAAAATATTTAAAGATTTTTGAAGGAAATGTTCACAAATGTTGCCAGGTACTATCTATCTTGTTTTCCCATAAAAAGCATACATTGACCATTAGGGTAGGGACTCTTACCTTCTCCTCACTCTCTTTCATACCACCTAGTACTTCCCATAGCTCCTCAAGGTGAAAAAGGAAGTATGGGATGGGAGGAGGGAAGGAGGGAAGGTCAGGAAGGAAGGAGAAAAGGCTGATAGTGATAGTAAGGTAGAGTGTGCCAGGACCGACTCCTTGAATAAGCTACAAGTCAGTTAAAAGTTGTGCATGGTTAGCAACCAAAATGCCCATCAGTGATAGGCTGGATAAAGAAAATGTGGTACATATGCACCATGGAATACTATGCAGCCATACAGAATGAAATCATGTCCTTTGCAGGGACATGGATGGAGCTGGAAGCCTTTATCTTCAGCAAAGTAATGCAGGAACAGAAAACCAAACACCACATGTTCTCACTTATAAGTGGGAGCTGAACCATGAGAACACATGGACACAGGGAGGGGAACAACACACACTGGGGCCTCTTGGGGGAGGGCAGATGAGGGGAGAGCATCAGGAAAAATAGCTAATGCATGCCAGGCTAATATCAGGAAATATATCAGGCTAATATCAGGAAAAATAACTAATGCATACCTAGGTGATGAGTTGATAGGTGCAGCAAACCACCATGGCACACGTTTACCTATGTAACAAACCTGCACATCCTACACATGTACCCTGGAACTTAAAAAAAAAGTTGTGCATGTTTTTGTCATGGGGGTATGGTTAAACAGGTAGACGAGAAGGAAAGTGGCAGATTGTGATAAGGCTCAGAATAAGCAGTTTACTTTCTTCCATTACAAGGGGCACAGGAAAAGAAAAAACACAGCCTTCAGTGGATGGACTGCCTGCTGCACAGACTCTAGACTGGCCAGGATGAAATGAAATGGTTCTCCAGGGTCAAAGTGAAGGTGCTGCCCAGAGCAGCCAGTCTGTGTGTTCACCCAATGCTCCAGAGCAGACCATCGCAGCCTCCAGAGGAGACGGAACTCCTGAAGGGAAGGCACTGTGTCTTCCTCAGCTAGTTACCCCACCAATAGCAAGAATAACGCGTTGGGCAATAAACAGTCTCTGGGTGACTGATATAGTTTCTTTTCGCTGGCACTCACGTAACCAAGATAATTTCTTTTCCTTGGTGCTCACGAGGAAAAAAGGCAGGCCCTAACTCCATTGATGTTTTAGTAGAGCTTCTAAGGGTGAGAAATCCACACACAGTCTTGACAGCAGGGTCTCCTGTGAGGTACAACAGTCCTACCCATCCAGGAACCCAAGTCCAACCAGACCTCCTGAAAAACGTGCGGGAGCCAGCTCAGAATACCATGCTCGCTGTTTCTCTTGGTAGCTTCCTGGATCCTCCACCACAACTTGGGGTGCTTCTGGGCCCTGCGTGAGGTGGGGGCAAACTTTGTTGTGAACGTCACCTGATCCTTCTGCCCTAGAGCCCAGCACTTCCAATTATAGTGCCTGTGCCCCAGGGAATATTCTTAAGGCTTAGAAGTAGATTACCTAGTTTAATTTTCCATCTGATTCTGATTAGCTGCGGCCACCATGGGCAGGATTACATAGGCCAAATGCACGTGGTTAAGCTGGACAGGCATCCCCAGACACATTTACCTGAGTGAGGAGGGGGTGTTACTCATAGAAGAGTCTAGACTTTCTTCTCTTCAGGTATATTTGATGTTCAGGGGGAAATGAATTAACAGCTGTTAGGCACAGTCTCTAGTCCTAAGAAGGTGAGCTCATATACTACAGGATTAAAAGTTTCAATTAAAAGACAACTCGTGTTTCTTATAAATATATAACTTTATATATTACATATGTTTACAATATATACAGCATACAAATATTGTTCATGTAATACTAAGAGCAGTCTTGAAAACTGAGATGTTTTCAAAACAAAAGATGGGTACTTATTTAGGTGGGTTCCTGATTTATCTAGAACCCAATTGTAGACAATGTCTCAGGCCCAGATTTCTGTAGAAGTCAAAGGGAAAAAGAAGGGTTGCTGGGTCATGACTCTAATACCCTTCCCCTTCCCAAATACCCTGGCCTTCAACTGGCATCAGCTAACATGGTCCCATGTGTGCACCCCTAAATGGCCAAACCCTGGGGCTATACACAGTGCCTGGTAAACAACTGTCACTCAAGTGCCTGAGGAATGAATAGAAATGAGTGATTTTAATCACCATTTCTAAGGCAACAGAGTGTTTCTAAGTGGAAACACTCTGGGAGATTCCGTCTAGAAGCAAATTCTTTATGTGTTTCCACTTTACAAGTAAAACCATCTACATGTCCAAGTGCTCAATAAATTAAAAGCCACAAAGTGCCCATCCTTCCTTGCACTTTGGAATCTGGGAGCCACTGGTTACATCACTTATCTTCCAAAAGTTTCTTCACATTCAACTAGTTCATCTATTGTGCGCAGCAGATCTTCAAAAGAAGGCCTTCCCTCTGGTTTCTACAATTAAAAGTCAAAGAGAAGCTGTAGGTTCCAGAATCCATTCCAAAAAACCTTTCACTGCTCCAACTCCTAAACATAGCATATTACAGAGAGGCTTCACTGCTTTGGGACTGGGACATACAGGCATCTCCAGAGGGGTCTTGTCTCTCTACCCTAATCTACCCTGCATGTACTGCTGCTAGGCTAACCTTTCTAAGACACTGCTTTCATGTCTCTCTTCAAGAGACATGCCTGTGAAATCAAGTCCTGCAAATTTATAGGACCTTCTATAATCTGCCACTCCCCCACCCTCTTGTCACCCAATTTTATTCCCCACAAAATCCCTCACATGGGCTGTCTGTTAAATAGGGCCACTATCTCCACTGTCGTGCACAAACATCGTGTTTATAACCACCTCCTTACCTTTGCTCAAGCTGTTCTCTCTCCCTTTAGCACCACTTCCTGCCCAGAATGTCTATGCCCATCCCAATCAACTCTTGGGGAGGCAGTACAGCCAGTGGTTGAGACCCTGGACTTTGGAGTCAGACAGGCCTATACTGCTCTGTAGTTAAGTGACCCCAGGCAAGCAGCAACCTCATGACCCTTAATCTTCTCATCTACAGAGTGACACAAAGTGTCTCCACCTCAAAGTGTTGCTTTGAGAACTAAATCCAAAACACTAAGTATAGTGCTTGGTACATAATACATGTGAGCTAATGTTACTGTCTTTCAGAAGTCATTTGGTATCTAACCTCTTTTAGGAGGTGACATTTCAATACTTCCAAAGACCTCGGAAAGTTGAGGTTTAGAGAAAGAAACCAACTCTGGTAAAAAAAAAAAAAATATTTCAACTCTACAAGTGACCCAGTGAAAAAAGAGCTACTTCTCCAGGTGTATTCCCCAAGTCCCTAGCTCAGGCAACTATGGAAGGAGTCCCACTTGCGAGTGAGGAAGCAGCCTGAATGTATCGAGGTAGTTATTAGCATTTTCCACATCTTTACATTCTTCTTCCCGTTATTCAGAAGTTGAGTTGAGAGGGTTGGCTTCCTACCTAGAGCTTGAAATCACTATAAAGCACGCACCACCTCACTAGGCTATAAAGACTGCATGTTGTCTATTTACCAAGCCCAATCCCTAAAAGATTCAAAAAGAAAGCCCACAAAAAATCTATACCTCCTGCCAACATCTCAGCATCACTTCATATACATAGTTGGATGCCAACTTCGGCTGGTAGAGTCGGTGGCCTCGAGTAACCATGGTTACCACTTCATAATTGGTATATTTTTCAAAGGGCATTCTGCCTTCTGTGAATACTTCCCACATTAAAACACCTGGAAAAGAATAAGGATTACCAAATGGATGTATCCACTTCCTCCTCAGGGCGGACGGACATGAGGAAACATGGACCATGGATCTTACCAAATGACCAGACATCTGATTTGCTGCTGAAGCGGCTGTAATTAAACACTTCAGGTGGACACCACTTCACAGGAAACTTAGCACCAGAAGAACTTGTATACTGATCATCCAGAACATACCTAGAGTAAGACACACCATGGGCTTACACCTCTGAAGAAAAATCTGCATTTTCTACTTGTTCTTTCATTTTTTTCCCCTTGCAATCAAAAACACAGTTGACTGAAGTCCAACAAGCATCCGGTTGAAGCTAAATGTTCACCTCAGTGGCCACACCTGGTGATTTCCAACTTCCTCTCAGCTTAATTTAAGTGCATGAGATGGATGCATCACCACATTACCATCTGCACTTTGATTTTTCTGTTTTTCTTTCTTTTTATAAGGCAATAGAGACAATGTATCATAAAGTACTTTGCAAGCTTTTCTTTGTAAGCAATTCTGTTCTTTAAATAAAATTTTACCCACAGGCCCCATATGTAAAAAATCTAAAGCAGAGCTGCTCCAGAGGAAGTGGTATAAAGCATCTAGAAACACACATGCTTTCAGCCCTCACAATTCCACAGAGCACAATTTAAAACTATAGCATATGAAAATGGCAAATGCAAAAAACAAACAAACAAAAACACAACACAAAATGCCACATGTAAACAGTGGAGTATGCATTTATACATAACATCCCCACATACATACATGCACTCAAAACAATACTATATAACTTTTTTATGTGAACATACTATGTCCTTCTGGAAGAACATACAAAAACTGTTAACAGTGGCTAACTTTGGGGGAGAATCCTTGATTAGGGTTGGTAGATGAAAAGACTTCAGCCCTTTCTGTAAGGTGGGCAGCACATATTTACAAAAGGAATGTATTTCTGTATTACATGTGAATATACCATTAATTTCTAAAAGCTTCCATGAGAAAATTTTCAAAGAATTGCACAAACGTCCTTTGCTCTGTAGACAAAGATGATGACTCAGCACAAAGCCAGCTGCTGGCTGGCAGACAATGCCACTATGGGCTGGATCAAACTGTCAGCCAGGGGAGTCTGACTTTAGGGTATAAAGAGTGTTTTTGAGTGGTTGATACAAAAGTGCAGATTTTCTGAAAGCCTAACATATGAAGATTGAACATATGAAAGTGGCCGATAGCCTGCCAAATATATAGTATCTTTATATAAAAGCAAATAAAGAGCACTGGGTAATTAATATCCTAAGAGTTGGAAGTTCTGGTCCCATTTCTGACAGTAACAGTTTTCTAATCTCCCTGGGCCTGAGTTTCCTTAGGAGTTAAACCTGGCCCTACATGGCCTGGTCCTTGCCTGCATTTATAAGCATTCCTGGCGCTGCCCGTTGGCCAGCTACCCTAGCGCTTTTTTCATTCTTTGAGCAGGCCAGACGTGTCCCAGACTTCAAGCTTTTTCACTTTTTCTTCCTACCTGAAATATTTTATCCTTTTATTTTCACCTATACTGGCTACTTCCTACCTTCTTGTCTCCAAACAAATCTCCCTATCGCAAAGAGGTCGTCCTGAACATCAGATCGAGTAGCCACCCTCATTCTTGCCCTGCATTGTCACTCGGCACCACCTCAAATTATCTGTATTACAGGGATCAGTCAACTTTTCTGTAAAGGGCCAGATAACACATATTTCAGATCTGGCAGGCCATACAGTCCCCAAGACAGCTACTCGACTCTGCATCTGTAGCGGGAAAGCAGTCACAGGTAACACCTAAATGAATGAGCGAGGCTATGTCTCAGTCACACTATTTTTATGGACAGTGACATTGGAGTTTCAGATTTTTTTTACATGTCATAATATTCTTTTCATTTTTGCATCCATTTAAAAATGTGAAACCCAAATGAAGTGTGGGTCAGACTGAGAGCCACAGTTTACCAGTATCGACCCCGCTCAATCATGTAACTTTATCAGGTCTTCTGATTCACCTTCTTCCTGAATGTAAGCTGCGTGTGGGCAAGGACTTGTAGGTCTTATTCTCTAATATGGTTCAGCCTATCATTATGCCTGGCGCGCAGCAGGCACCTGATTTTTAATGGGTGGATGTATGGATGAATCAATAGACAGACAGAGGAAGAAGCGACAAAAAATAAACTAAATACCTTTTAAAGGTATTTTATAATACTATTAAATTATAAAAATTAAGAGAAGAAAAACACTGCAGACATGGACATACTAAGAACCTCACCACCAAATACGTTTTTGTGAAAACAAAAGATTCTAGAAATCTAATCCACACCAGGAAATATAGTATATTTAACAGGCTATACTACCACCTAGTGGAGAGAACTACTAACATCACAATATATACTTATTTTAATCTGAGAACCAGTTAACAAGATTTCCTTTCTGCTTCGTCATTGCAAATTATTCCCACACTTATTAATTCCACCAAAAAAATGCAAACATCACCTAAAACCACATATACTTGGACATACCTGGCCATTCCAAAATCAGATACTTTTACAACTCCCGCCTCACTTACTAGACAATTTCTGGCAGCCTGGAAAACAACATTATGATGGTATATTAGTTTAAAAATTCCACCATTTAAGTAGGAAAATATAAGTTCTGTTCATATTAAATTTAGTGTAACCTAGTCAACATTTGCAGAGAGTGGAAATGTCCTTTAATAAGTTGTTTTTACCCCTATGGAAGTATTTCCATTGTGTATTTGAAAAAATGAATAGAAAGGCAGGTCAGAAAGTCATATTGCAATAAGGCATTATTGCATAATCTTTACCAATTGTCTTTTTTTTTTTTTCTTTTTTTGAGACAGGGTCTGCCTCTGTCGCCCAGGCTGGAGTGCAGTGGCGCAATCTTGGCTCACTGCAACCTCCACCTCCCAGGTTCAAGTGATTCTTCTGCCCCAGCCTCCAGAATAGCTGGGATTACAGGCACCTATCATCACACCCAGCTAATTACTGTATTTTTAGTAGAGACGGGGTTTTACCATTGTGGCCAGGCTAGTCTTGAACTCCTGTCCTCATCCATCTGCCTCAGCTTCCCCCAGTGTTAGGATTATAGGTGTGAGCCACCACACTGGCCAACTGTCATTCTTAAACAAGGGCTAATAGAAGAGTCAACTCACTTTTCTCCCTCCCAGACCTGTTCTTATTAAACTATCCAGTTTTCTTACTGACAATGAGAACATCTCTTGAAGTCCTTAATCCAGTTCTCACAATGATGGGTGACCAATCTCTTAACCAATATTTCTGCTCAGTGATTGGTCATCTCATCCCAGTCAAAGAACAGGCTGGGTGCAGTGGCTCACGCCTGTAATCCCAACATTTTGGGAGGCTGAGGCGGGTGGAAAACTTGAGGTCAGGAGTTTGAGACCAGCCTGGCCAACATGACAAAACCCCGTCTCTACTAAAAATACAAAAAAATTTGCCAAGTGTAGTGGCACACAACTGTAGCCCCAGCTACCTGGGACTGGAGGCAGAATTGCTTGAACCTGGGAGGCGGACGTTACAATGAGCAGAGATCATGCCACTGCACTCTAGCCTGGGCGACAGAGCAAGACTCGGTCTCCAAAAGAACAGCTATGTGTGAATACAGTTCGCTTTTTCATTTATGTTCCCAGTATATTATAACATGATGTACAAGATAGGTCAAATACAATTGTGGATTATTTAATTTATATTTTCTTGCACATTCTTCAAGGTTACAAGGTTCAAGAAAATAGCTTGACAGAAAGACATGGTATTTCTCAGAAGGAAGACATGATGACTTTTTTTTTTTTTTTTTTTTTTTTAAGACCAAGTCTTGCTCTGTCACCAGGCTAGAGTCCAGTGGTGCCATCTCGGCTCACTGCAACATCCGCCTCCTGGGTTCAAGTGATTCTTCTGCCTCAGCCTCCCAAGTAGCCGGGACTACAGGCGGCCGCCACCACACCAGGCTGTTTTTTGTATTTTTAGTAGAGACAGGGTTTCATCATGTTCGCCAGGATGGTCTCGATCTCTTCACCTCGTGATCTGCCCGCCTCGGCCTCCCAAAGTGTTGGGATTATAAGCGTGAGCCACCACACCAGGCCAATAATATTTTAATACCATAACCCATAGACCAAGGTGTGTTTTTCTTTCTTCCTGACTGTTCATAATTCTATTTTCTCTATGCGGCAATTGCACTATGCGGTTCCTTCTTGCTGAGTGCATTTTAAGAGTCTCATAGGCCGGGCATGGTGGTTCATGCCCAGCACTTTGGGAGGCCGAGGCAGGCGGATCACGAGGTCAAGAGATCAAGACCATCCTGGCTAACACGGTGAAACCCCATCTCTGCTAAAAATACAAAGAAAATTAGCTGGGCATGGCGGCAGGTGCCTGTAGTCCCAGCTACTAGGGAGGCTGAGGCAGGAGAATGGCGTGAACCCGGGAGGCAGAGCTTGCAGTGAGTCAAGATCACGCCACTGCACTCCAGCCTGGGTGAGTGAGACTCTGTCTCAAAAAAAAAAAAAAAGTCTCTTATAAAATGAGAGTTAATGCCCATTCCCTGGACTGCCTGCATCTTCCTACGAAAACACTTCACAACTCCACAATGCCTGCGCTGGATGGTCAACAGGATTCTTTACCAAGAAGACAAGAGCATCCGAAGTTTCCCATAAGGGGTGACACAAACCTACCATAGTAATACCAATATCATAGGCACAGAAATATGAGAATCGTTTTTGCCAAAATATCATCTGTCTGGAAGGTGTAATCTGCCACACCGATGTAGATATTCAGTTTTTATCAGTTTTGTAAGGACAAAACAGACAAAGGTTCTTAGTTTACGAGTTTCGATTGACAGAGATGTTCTTCGTCATCCCTGACATAATGATAACAATAACTGATGCTATCTATAGCATGTATATTTTACAAAGCCCTTTGCCCCAGTCAAATAATGTGATCTTTAAAACAGTCTTGAAAGCCAAACAACATTATAACCCACAATTTATAGACACCGAAACTGAATCTAAGATAAGGTAAGTATCCCAAAACACACCTAGGAAATCAAGTGTTCCATCTCCAAATCTTCAACTCTCTAATATGCTTTAATTCTAGAGAGCATAGCATAGTAGTTAGGTAGGGACCCTAGAGCCAAGCTGCCCGGGTTCAAATCCTGGCTCTACAATTCACTTGTCCATTGGTAAGTTATTTTATCCTATTTGCACCTCAGTTTCCTCATCTGTAAAAAGGGAATAATAAGAAAATCTACTTCCCAGAATTATGATTAAACGAGTTTATTTGTAAAATACTTATCAGAACAATGTCTGTCTAAGGTGACTGCTAACTTTAAAAAATGTTTTGCTAAGGCTGGGCGCAGAGGCTCACACTTGTAATCCTAGCACGTGGGAGGCTGAGGCAGGCAGATCGCTTGAGCAGATCGCTTGAGTTTGAGACCAGTCTGAGCAACACAGCGAAACCCCATCTCTACAAAAATTAGCCAGGCATGGTGGCACATGCCTATAGTCTCAGCTACTTGGGGGCTGAGGCAGGAGGATCGCTTGAACCCGGGAGGTTGAGGCTGCAGTGGGCCAAGATTACGCCACTGCACTCCAGCCTGGAAGACAAAGTGAGACCCTGTCTCAAAGGAAAAAAAAATTTTTTTAGGTTTTTCTGCTTTCTAAAAAAATGTGTCCATGCTTTATCACTAGAAAGCTAAAACTAAAATATGGGAGGAAGTCCCAAATGAAAATTACACCCTTCTTGGTGAAAGAATTATTTTCTTTCAGGAGACAGACAGTGCTACTGATATGCTGAAAGCAAGCATTTTCAGCTGATTATTTTCAGGGGACAGACACTGCTGCTAATATGCTGAAAGCATTTGTAAAGAACAGGTAGAGAAGAAAAACAGAAGGAAAAGAAGAATGGAGGAGAGAGTGAGAACAGGTGAGAAGGGAAAAATTGTCTCCATCACAACAATTTAGAACTGGTAACAGATTTTTTTTTTCTGGTATTTTGAGAAGTTAACATGAACCTCCATGTTTTCCCAGTGATTTGAGAGATTTTTTTAAAAATCCAAAGGATTTCTCTTATAGTTTCTGTTTATAGTGTATGAAGTGGAAAAGAACTTGGGATCTAGTTAGAAAGTCAAGGCCAACCGCAACTTCCCTACTTATCACAGGAGGCAAGCCATTTCACTTCCCTAAAGCTAATTTTCTCATCTGTACAAGAGTGATGGTAAGAGAATCCACTGTGAGTAGCTATCTCATGGGATTCTTATGGAGATCAAAAAATTAAAACATGGAAACTTGCTTGGAGATATTAACTAGGTAAATAATTAGACTGAATAAAGATCTTTCCTTTAAAATTACAGGGCAAGTTAAATTTACCAACTTTAAAAATAATGGTGAAAGATTGTTAAGAACAAAAATTGGCTATTAACACATCATTGCACATTTGCTGAGCCAGTGTTACAAAGGAATTCAGCCAATGAGTGGGAATGTGGGCAGCTAGGGTTACCAGATCTCTGTGGATGAAGCTGTTTCTCTCCAGATACTCCATCCCTTCACACACATCCTGACACATGCTCAGCAGCACGTCTCTACTGAAATGACCTTGTCTCTGTCGGAGGAAATTCAGAAGGCAGCCCCTTTCCATGAACTCGGTAACAATGTATATTGGTTTCTGCTGGGTGCATACACCATAAAGCTGCACTAACTTCGGGTGTGTCAGTTTCCTGGAAAGGAAGACATACACATATATAGTTACTATAGGAAAAGAAACTACCAAGTTTTTGGTGAGGGGCCACTTTTTAATACAAAAAGGTGAGCCAGAAAGATGATCACCACTTACATCATCACTTTAGCTTCTTCTATAAAGTCCTCCTCGCACATGGCACCTTCCCGAATAGCTTTGATTGCGACTTTGTACTGGGCTCGCCATTTGCCAAGCCTCACCACTCCAAACAGTCCACTTCCCAATTCCCTCATAAAGGTCAGTTCTGAAGGGTTAATCTCCCACTTCTCTGCATGACAGAAGGGGAAAATGTTCATATTTAAAAAGGAAAACATAGCATGAATCAGAGAGGGGAAAAAGAACCTATAACCAAGATCAACCTCAAAATTACAGGATAACACTGTAATAATTCCTGGTAAAACACAGAAGAGACTTGAAACCTGCATCTGAACTGCCACAGGTGGGGAGGATGAATCCCTTCTAACCAATGTGAAATGAAGAAGGCAAGACAATTCTGCACAAATAATAATAGTAATAATAATAATAATAATAATAATAATAATAATAATATAGCCTGAAAGTTAAAGGTACTTTTGTCAAACAAACACTTCCTTCTTTACCACTCTCCCTTCTCAGGTTTGTTGTTGTTTTTTTTTCTTTTTCAATTCCATCAAGTTGGAAATAATGTAATCTGCTGTTTTAAAGGCTTTTGTCAGAAGCGACAAAGACCATTAAGTTGGAAGCTTTCTTTCTTACCTTCATCCTTACTCACGTTCTTGTAAGCAATAAAGCTGGTGAGAACCAGGAAGGGCTTTGATTTATTTTAGATGTTAACACGATAATGCTTATTTTTTTACTGACAGAAAGTTTTCTATGGAATTATGAATAATGATGAAAATATAATACCTAGGCTGCTACGGTCTTAAGTATAATTACCTAAAAACCCATACTATAAACTTATGAAAACAATTCCAGTATGTGAAATAGTACACATCCAAATTTATCTTATGACAATGGATTCTTTTTAAGGAAAATCAGCTCACGCAACCACAAAATAAGAGTTACCATAGCTGAATCCTGCAGTGGTGGGTGCATTCTTCCCTTTCACACTAACTGGGTACCGAAGCCGGGTGACAAGTCCTAATAATCAAAGAAAGCGTTGCAGTCAAACTCATTCATAATCATTCTGCTTGGTCACATGCTACAGGAAACTCACTTACAAAATTCATCATTTATTCATTTACTGCGCATCCTCTGTGTGTACATACAGCACTGTGCTATATGCTTTTATTCATTCAACAAATATTTTCTTTTAAATACTACAGTGTTTAACAGGCACCATGCTAACTTTCTCTTTTTCCAAATATTTTAAAGGATGTTAAAAGGTTTCTAACAGTTATTTCACGTTCTTTTCCAATATGAGAGCTGAACTATGAAAGGGAATTATATTAGTCTGCTAAAAATGAAAGTTATTCACCTGACATGACTCAGTATTAGCAATCTTAGCATAAAAATCGGGCTCTAAGATAGCAACAATTCGGAATACCAACTACTGGAAATCAGTGTGTATCTTTTAACCCAAGTTGCATACAGCACTAAATAAGAAACAGGAGGTGTCTCTTCCAAAAACACCCATAGCACTCTGTATTTCCTCTACTACAAGATATTTCAAAGCAATTTAAAATCATTATGTACTTCTCTGTCTCCCCACAAGTGGTAGGGTCTCGGAAAATCAGGATCAGTTACTACACCTAGTCCACCACAGTCTCCCCAAAGTCTGGCTCTGTTTCTGGCATGCAGTAGGCACTTGATACATGTTTGTTGAATGAATTGAGATGACAGTGAAGAATAAAACTTATACAGGAATACGGAAGAAAAATTTAGGGAGCAAAAACACCAAAAAAGAAAACAACAGAATGAGATATAAATTGATACGAAATCAGTTCCTCAAATGTTAAACACAGAGTTACCATATGACGCAGCATACCCATAACTAGGTAAATACCCAAAAGAAATGAAAACATATTTCCACGCAAAAACTGGTGTACAGGTGTTTACAGAAGCATTATTCATAAGAGAACTAATGTGGAAACAACCCAAATGTCCATCAACTGATGAATAATAAACAAAATCCATACAATGAATTATTATTTTTATACCTGGCCACAAACCAATTTCTAACAATGTGTTCAGGAAGTCCATCACAGCAATAAACATTAATGTCAATTTACATTGTCTAGAATTCCTAGTGATATTGTCAGCAAATTTTTTCCTTAACCTCATTTTACCTATAGTTTTTACATATCTAGGCTGTGTCTTGGCTTCCATAAGTAGATGAAGCACGACTTTCTAACACAACAGGTGGATGGTAAGATATTCCCCCTATATTTGAAGATAGAGGGGTTGATCCCGTCTCAACATTGAGCATTATTATACTCAATTTGAAACTGTTATTTTACTTAAGAGTTAAATGTAGACTTGTATGCTGGCCTGAGAACCTAAGCATTCCACAAATATTGTGTTAGGCTCTGGGTTGTGACTCAATAATAAGTAGAAGTTATTGTGCAATTACTATGTGTCAAGCCCTGTTCATTTTGTTTATATTATCTGATTATTTCAGTAAACTCGTGATGTATGTTTTTAAAAAAGGGAATGGAATGCATCTACATACTACAACATGACAACGTCAACAACAGTTACGTTAAGTCAGTGAAGCTAGTCACGGAAGACCACATATTCTATAATTCCATTTATATGAAATGTCCAGAATAGGCAAATCTATAAGGGAGACAGAAAGTATGTTAATGGTTGCCTGGGGCTGGGCTGGTGAAGGGGGATGGGGTGACAATTATTTGATACAAAACTTCTTCTTGGGATGATGACAACGTTCTTTAAAAAAAAATTTAGATTATGCTGATAGTTGGCACAACTCTGTAAATATGCTAAAAACCACTGAATTGTATACTTTAAATGGGTGGGCTTTATAGTATATAAATTTTATCTAAATAACCATTATTATTACCTGAAAAAAAGTGAACAGTCACAAAATAGCAGGCTTTGCAAAGGGTGCCTTCAATAAAATTTCAAAATTTTTCATAAGTTGGGTGAAGCACTTGGCTATCCCTGCCCAGTTACATTTTTAAAGTCAAAGGCTGGAAATCTTTCTATATAATCCTGTGGAACTTTAATTTTCATAAATGTCGTTTCGTTTCTGTTATTTTTTGGTATTCAGTTTGTTCCCACTCTGGTGGTAGTGTACCAGAGATTCAAGAAGATGGTTAACTTGTAGGATATGATTACTCTACTCTCTGGAAACCTACAGCATAGGACTGAATCCTGGTTTATCTGGTATCTTCTGTGACTATTCTGAAATAGACATATCTTGGACGTTAGTATCAAGGACATATATACCACATAAATGTGAACTTTTTTTAACTTTTAAGTTCAGGGTTATAAGTGCAAGTTTGTTACATGGGTAAACTTGTGTCATGGGGGTTTGCCATACAGATTATTTCATTACCCAGGTATTAAGCCTAGTACCCATAAGTTGTTTTTCCTGATCCTCTCCGTCCTCCCAACCTCTACCCTACAAAAGACTCCAGTGTGTGTTGTTCCCCTCTGTGTGACCATGTATTCTTATTGTTTAGCTTCCACTTACAAGAGAGACCATGTGGTATTTGGTTTTCTGTTCCTGTGTTAGTTTGCTAAGGATAATGGCCTCCCTGCAAAGGACATGATCCCATTCTTCTTTGATGGCTTCACAGATTCCATGCTGTATATGTACCAGATTTTCTTTATCCTGTCTATCACTGATGGACATTTAGGTTGATTCCATGTCTTTGCCATTATGAACAGTGCTGCAATGAACACCCACATGCATGTGTCTTTATAATAGAATGATTTATATTCCTTTGGGTACACACCCAGTAATGGGACTGCTGGGTTGAATGGTGTTTCTGCCTTACTGTCTTCCACAATGGCGGAACTAATTTATACTCCCACCAACAGTGTATAAATGTAATGTGAACATTTGCTATATACCAATGGAATAACTCATGTCCTAAGGTCAAGACAGAGCTTTTTATAAAACTTGACATTATTTCTAATTATTCTTTGTATATATTATTCCTTTAATATGCAGTAATTTTAAATCAACCACATTTTACAATGAACTAACTATAAAATAAAACTGCTCAAGGAATTAATCACAGTATCTGATCATTTTAATCACAACCTTATATTTGAAGTAGGTTTTCACAGCTCACTTACCTGCTGCATTGTGCTTATGATATTCAATAATCTCAGGAATTGAGCCAAAAGCATGTTTTTCAGCTAGGTAATACTTCTTTGGAGATGTTGTTGTTTCCTTTATATGATAATGCCTGAAACCCGATGAACCTTCTCTAGAACAAAAATCAAAATGTGTCAGAACCAAGTTGAAATAATAGAACTTCATTCTTAAGGTGTTTTCTACAAGGGCAACCACAGCATCTATCCATATGATTCCCTCTATTCCTGGCACAAATTTTACTTCCCCTATGTTCTTCTTAGCTTCGTCTTTCATATTAGCATGTCAAAGTTTTTAAAGTACTCACTGAAAACACACATGGCCCTTTGCATGAGATTTGGAAAGAGAACATTTATGAATTCCACTTACCAACAGCTGGAAGTCTTAACGTAGCTATTAGCAGCTACTGCTTTTTGTTCCTGCTGTTGCATAAACTTACAAATGTCTAGAATACTTAAATCGCCAATAGCGAATAAATTAGACTTTTAAACATTCAACTTTAGGTACCTTTCTAGAGCAGAGATCTTCTCTAGTCCTCTCTTGCTAAAAATGCTTTCAAGATGACTCCTGTTGCTCTTAGGGTAAAGCTCAGACTTATTGACATTCACATGAACTTGCCTCTGCTTCAACTCTCAGGCTTCTCTCTCCTCCCTTCACTCTGCTCCCATTCTACCACACAGCTACAACATACTTTTCAGTGACTTGAACTCACCACATCCTCTCTCCCCTCTAGGTCCAGGCAATTTCCTGGTGAGAAACACTCCGTCCCCTCCCTCTGAGTTTTTCCTGCTCACCTCTCAGGTCTCAGCCTGGATGTCATTTGGGAGAGCGTTCATGACTAACTCAAGATGTGCCTAGGCTGTTTACCATTCCCCACCCCCAAACCTACCACACACACACATTACCCTCCCACATGGCACTTACTACCATCACTGTCTGTTACTGGGCTGTAGCATCTACTAACCTACTGGTGGACAGGGTCTCTGCATCCTTTGCTCATGATTTTATCCTTAGTGACCAGTACCGTTCACTATAAATGTTTGTTGAATGTTACTAAAGTTATTATAGCCATACTCAACAAATACATATGAAAAACTATAGGGAAAATTACTGAAAATATAAATACAAAAAACAGTATATACACTTCAGAAATCAAGTTCAGGTTTTCTTTTTAATGGTGAAATGCTGCATATTTTTATGAAAATTAGGAATCCATATAAACTACATGGGAAGTTCATGCAAAAACTCTAAATTATTTAAAAAAAAAAAAAATGGCAGGATTACTCACCCTCCAAACTTGGTATAAAGGGAGACTGTGTACAAGCCTGGTTGACTGGAATCCCTTACCATAAAACCACCTTCTTTATCCTAAAATCCAAGTTCAGAAAAAAAATTTTTTATTCCAACTACTAATAGCATTGCCATGGAGAATACTGAAGAACCTAATATTATAATTTTATAATTATTATTCTTTCCCAGAAAATCTGCTTTGAAGAAGCACAACTTACCAATAGGGCCCCTTGGTTTCTCCCACCCACATGACTTTGTACTTCAAATTACTGCGCTAGGAGAGTAGTTAAAGAAATTGCACTCAATTCCCCACAATCACAAATCCTCACAAATGGTGAGACATTTCAATCAAACAATCTCTCAGTGCCCTTCCAGAACTGAGAGACAAGATTTTGCAACTCCTGTAAGGCCTGGACATGTAGGAAAACTGTCATGGAAAAATATATTTCCTAATGATTGGGTTTCATTTCATACATTTTTTGTATTTGTTATAAGCTTTGATTCTTGACTCAGTATGATTTTCAATTCACACTGAATTTTCCTATAAATGTCTCAGTGCTTTTTATAAGAATGAATTTAAAAATTCTTAATTCTCTAGAAGTTGAAGTTAAATATCAGTCTTTTTTTTTGAGACAGAGTCTCGCACTGTTGCCCAGGCTGGCTGGAGTGCAGTGGCACGATCTTGGCTCACTGCAGCCTCCACCTCCTGGGTTCAAAGAATTCTCCTGCCTCAGCCAGCCGAGTAGCTGGGACTATAGGCGTGCACCACCATGTCCAGCTAGTTTTTATATTTTTAGTAGAGACGGGGTTTCACCATGTTGTTGGCCAGCTTGGTTTTGAACTTCTGACCTCCAGTGATCCACCCTCCTTGATCTCCGAAAGTGCTGGGATTACAGGCGTGAGCCAACATACCCAGCCAAATATCAGCCTTTACAAAAGGAGAGATGGAGGCACAAGTAACTTAAGCAGAGCAAATCAAGAGTTGGAAACAATGCTAAAAGACTAAAGGTCAAATCTTTCTCAGGTTCCAAGCTGAAAAGCAAGAAATAGACCCTACGAACCTCAAATACCTCTCTGTCCAGTAACACTACCATCAATCTCTAGTATTTAAATTGCTTTAAGATGAAAAGTGTGTCCTTTATTAGTTGAAAAATAAAACAAATTGTACTCTTCTTCATAGGAAAAACAATGGAATTAAATAAGGTCCCACAAAAATACCTGATAACAATTAGGGACAATAATTGTAATAATCGATCAGTAAAAAGTGTAACAGAGGCTGGGCACGGTGGCTCATGCCTGCAATTACAGTACCTTGGGAGGCTGAGGCAGGCAGATCAGTTGAGGTCGGGAGTTCAAGACCAGCCTGGCCAAAATGGGAAAACCCCATCTCTACTAAAAATACCCCATCTTTACTAAAAATTAGCCAGGCATGGTGGTGCATGCCTGTAATCTCAGCTACTTGGGAGGCTGAGGTAGGAGAATCGCTTGAACCCAGGAGACAGAGGCTGCAGTAAGCCAAGATCACACCACTGCACTCTAGTCTGGGAGACAGAGAGAGAGAAACTATCTTAAATAATATAAATAAACAAACAAACAAACAAACAAACACATTTATTTATTGAAAATTTATTCTGTTCTAATGTTCTAGCATATCAATTTATTTAATCATCAAAACAGTCCTATTACATAGGTACTATTGTTATCCCCACATTACTTCGCAGGTAAGGAAATGACAAACAGAAAGACTGGCTGGGTAATTTGCACCAGGTCACACAGCTAGTAAGTAGTAGAGGCAGGATCTGGTCCCCAGGCTGCCATTTAGCTACTCACTCCGCTACATCTGCCTCTCACTGTGGGGTCTCCAGGGAGGCATGGAAGAATCCTGTGGGCATGGTTACGTGTAGTCAGAATTAACCAAAGTCACCTACTATTGTTTTTTTAACATCAACTACAAAAACAAGCACTCAACAAAATCTTGATGCATGATACTAAGCAGGAGGTAAAATGAGAAAACATGAGTTTAAAAGACTGGGAACAATAGCTAAATAGAAAACTAGATCAGAAATGCAGAGAATTGTAGAGATCATCTTCTAGTCCAACTCCTTCTCTTACAGATGTGAAAAGTAGGCTAGAAAAGTCACAGGGAGACCCAGGTCCCATTACTCAGCACAGGGTAGTTCCCCCTATACATTTTACCCTTTCATTTTATTTCGTTTTAAAGGTATAGCAATTTCAGCACATTTATTTCTAAATGGAATTAAACATCTATTAATGCTTTATTTATAAAAGACATTATGTAGTATCAATGTAAACTATTTTAAAATAACTAACTTCGAGCCAAAAAAAAAAAAAAACCAAACAAATACTTAAGTACTAAAAGTCAAGACAGCAAATGATCAATCAGGAAGAAAGCATTAGAGTAAGCTTGCCCCTCATGCTAAGGAAAGTGAAAGTGCAACAACTGCAGCAAAATAAGGATGGGCCACTACAGGAGACTCCCTCTGCCAGGGAATACACTGCTGCAGAACTCAGAGACTGCAAAGACCTTTAACCAACTACTGGCTGGTCCTAGAACAGTAGTGTTTGTTACTAATTGATAACAAACAGTTGCAGATTTCCTTTTTCCTTCTCTACTCCCACCGCTTCACTTGATTAGGCTTTAATCCATTTATGCCTAGGGTTCCATTATTGGAACACTAAGCTTGTGGGCGTTATTTACATCCTACGGCTCAAAGTCATCAAAGGTCTGATTTTTCACACACAAAAAATTTGCAACCTCCAGCATAAATGAGTTAAAAAAAATAAAAATAAAAAGCAACAACTACCTAGGGAACCCCTGGCTGCTTGGATGGTCTAACTGCGGGACACAGTGGGTGATGATATTTCCCTAGCCAGGAATGAAGCAGAAAAAAATGAGTGACATTACTACCCACCCAGCCCTGCAGCAACGCCTTCATAATGCAAGGCATACATACACAAGGGAATTGTAGCCTTATGGCCTGGATCATTCTGGCTGTGACAGAGGTTTGGCCTAATGAAGGAAATTTACCAGGAGGGACAACCTTGTGGTGGTTAGTGGAAAGCCCCAGGGGCTTCTCTAAAAATTAAGAATGAGGTAAGCCATCTATGCTCAGGTTTTCATGGGACTTGATAAAGCAATTTTTACTTCCAGGATGAAAAATAAATTGCTACAGGATATGCTGTGCTAACAAAAGGAAAATGAAAACTATCTGAAAGGTGGCAATGACAATTCTTTATGAAAGCTATAAGTTTTGCTCCTGTGTGCCTGTATGCCTATATGTCTATATGTGTTATATATGTGTGACATTTCTATGTGATCTAAGAAAACATCCGGTAAATGAAATTAGTTTTTAAATTGTTGGTAAAATAAAATAGAAACATCTTCAGAATTTAATTCAGACATTTTGCCTAGATCTACTAGTCAGACAGGTTTAGGTTGTCTCTGCCTCAGGTCATAAAACTGCTGCTTCTGAGACGTTTTTGACACTTGTTTGACTTGTATGTGAGCTTAATTAAAATTAATCACTTCCTAGATATTTTACTGGAAATTAGAACTACTAAGAGTTACAATAGTAGTTAGTGTATATAATTAAAACTACTAGATGTAAGAGAAACAATTCTATATACAGAGTGTATAAAGAAAGTAAGATGAATTTTTGGTGAAGAAGGCTACATAAAAGATAGGATAGAGCTTTTGCTGAAGAAAAAGTCATTTTTTCTAGTTCAGAGGTTATTTAAAGGTTGTTTCAAAATGAAGGAAAAAATGATATAGATAAAACTAAATGGGTAGAAAGAGAATGAAGAAAAAGAAAGGAAAGTCACAGAACTTGTCCCAGCAGGAAGGAAATCTTTAGATGGTTATTAAAAAATCAAATGAATAAAATGGAAATTAATGGCATTAAAACAAAGGTCTTAATACAACACTACTGAAGGTTGTGTGGACCAAAAGGAGCCCCTGCTGGTTCCCCAACATTAAAGAGCCCAGAATTACTTTGCTATATCTCCAGTCTGCAGAAACGTAAAAAGCTAAAAGACAGAGATTATAATGATATAAGGCTGACCAACAATTGTTTCAGGGCAAAACTGAAGCAGGTTAATCAAGATAAAGACTGACAAAAGGGCCAGGGTCCCTTGGCTCAACCCCCTGCTGGGAACCTAAAGCCTTCTGCACAACAGAGGGTAAAATGTTCTGGAGGTAGAGAAGAGAAGTTCCTAGGACTAAAACATAAAAACATAAGGGTTTATAAGACTATGAAAGTTGGAATGTTTGAACAGGTTTTATGTAAAGTAGCTGTGTCTCCTTTATCTAAATGTTTTATGGGAATGAACATTGTATTTGACTGGGGAATGTTTCTTCTACTGTAAAACAGAGGGCATGTAAACCTGCCCTTCAAGCAATATTAATTGGATGTGATAAATGGGAGCCAGTATGACTGTCCAAGCTCATAGTGTAGAGAAAGTTGGAATGCTGGTAGGGACAAATTTTCTACCTGATAGTCTTTTGTTGAGTGTTACTAGGTCTTATGGCAAAAGCCAGTTAGCACCTCCCAGTGACAACTACTGGCACTCTGGACTAGAGAACTTCTACTAGAGGGGCATTTACTGCCTTGCTATGGATGCTAACTATAGCCACATCTACGACTGAAGAACATAAAATGTTCTTGACACCTGAAATATCCGTGCTGTCTCAGGTGATGTCAGAGGAACACTCTAATGGAGATAGCAGTATCTAAAAGAGTTCCATCATAAAATGGAAATGGTTCATACAGGATCACACTATCTGGTGGGTACAAGGAGGAGACACTCATGAGCAGGGAGCCTCTCTAACCCAAAGACTGACTCTGGAACTGTGTGAGTAGCTGCTGGATTCTACAGTGCCCAATAAACAGCTCTCAACTGACCAAGCAAGAGTTGCTTGGTTTGTGGATGGCGGTTCCAAGGTGAATGGACAACAACCTGTGTGGAAGGCTGCTACTCTGAAGAAGAGTCAAGAAACTGTGTTTTTGTGTGTTCTGAACTATTTAAAGCTTACAGCAATTGAGTAAAGTATAATTTTGAGAGCCAAACTGAGGCATTAACTATTCTCTCTACCTGATTTCTCCAAAATTTGGAAGCTATTTGTGAGTATTCTTATTTTGTGGCAATATAGTTTCTTGCATAAGTTCAATAAGCTGTTTTCTTTTGTAACAGGACACACTGGGGAAACCACTGCTACAATAACCACACTGGTTATTTTACCAAGGCTTTGGGCATATGAAGTTGTAAGGGCCAGTTTCAAGGGGTAGCGAGTAGGAAAACAGCCTGTTACATGGCAAGAGTGATGTAACCTTGAAGTGAAACCACAGTGATGACCAGTGCTCGATCCCCACTTACCAAGGTGTTTGCAGCAAGGTGTTTAAACAATGCTTTCATAAAGATGCTTATCTAACCTCACCAGTGGTCACATGTGCTGGTAAGAAAGGCTAAAGACATGTCCAGCTGCACGTTTTACCCTAAAAGTTTGCTATATAAAGAATACTTTCTGGAGGGCAGGTGTGGGGATAACTGCCCTGAGGCCACAGGGCCACCCATGATTACTTCTGTTTATAAGTCCCTATTAAATATTTCTTTCTAGAAACTGAATTTGTCAGCCTCTTTCTTCAGTCTCTGAGCTCCCTCAGCCTCTGGGAATAGTTTTGCATAGACTTGCTCACTGCTGAACAAATTTAGAAAGAGAGATATGTGGAACTACTTATTATGGACTCATTAAAATTTATTTGCCCTTAAGCCAAACCCACAAGTACAAACACTTACTTCACTGCGGAGGAGTTGCTCTGCCTTGCTTCTATTCATATTTCTGCAATACCATCTGAACAGAAAAAACAATACATTTCAGGCCTCAGGTTTTTAGGACATATTTTATTATTTTCAGAATTAATAAGGTAATTCCACTCATTAATAATAAATCTAACAAATAAGAACAAGATATCACTCATAATTTCAATAACAGACAACTAGTAATTTTGATGTATATACTTCCAGACTTTTTCTACCCATATTTCTATGAAAACATGTATGTATGCCCATATTCTTACGTTTTATTAGAGTGAGATCAAACTACATAGGCTATACTATAATCTGAATTTTTCATATAACACTATAGGATATTTTTGCAAATCAATATAAGTCTACATATGATAGTATGCATGTGCCATAATTTATTTAAGCTATTCTTCACTGTTCAACATAAAAATCATTTTCAATTTTTCACTACTAGAATCACGGCAAGAATGAATTTTACTCCACTGACTCAAACATGCAGGAAGTGGCACTTTGTATTACTGTCTTTAATTCAAACTAAATCTTATTCCAAACTAAGGCTTATTCCAGGCCCTCCTCCTATCAATATGGCAGCAGATTTCATCTCAAGTCATAATGGTGGCTCCCTCAATGAATTTCACAAAGGTCCTAAGTGAAAAAAGAAACAACAAAACATAAGCACAGGCCTCCTGGGTCTTCAGACTTGCTGGTTTCCAGCAGAGCCCCAAGTCCTGTGGTTGCCCAAGACTCTATTGTAGAAATGTCTGCCATGACCAATCAGCTGGTCTTCCCTCCCATGAGATCTTTCAACCACCCAGTGCCACATCCCAAGACCCTGCCAATCTGTACCTCTTCTTCTTTTTTTTGAGATAGAGTCTTGCTCTGATACCCAGATGAAAGTGTAGTAGCGCAATCTCAACTCACTGCAACCTCCACCTCCTGGGTTCACACGATTTTCCTGCCTCAGCCTCCTGAGTAGCTGGAATTATAGGCAGGCACCACCACACCTGGCTAATTTTTGTATTTTTTGTAGACAGGGTTTCACCGTGTTGACCAGGCTGGTCTCGAACTCCTGGCCTCAAAGGACCTGCCCACCTTGGCATCCCAAAATCCTGGGATTACAGGCGTGAGCCACCATGCCTGGTCCTGTACCTCTTCTTATCCTTTGGAAAGCCCTTTTCTTGATACTGTCATTAACCACCTCATCCTTAGAGATACTTGCCTCTCTGTACTTTCCCCAGCATAATCGATCCCTCCATGTGATTTAAGCAAACAGGCCATAAGAACATGAACTTAGATAATTTTTCTTTGGCCTTTGGTTTTAAACTTATTTTGTTAGATCCTTACTCGTTGGCAAGGAATTCTCCACCACAGTCATATACCCTGAGACTTCAAATGTTATAAAATCAGCTCAGATCCTCTGGACATTTAAATTTCCCAGTACGGCTTCAGCCTTCCATAAGAGAACCAGCACCTGCTTTTGGCCCAGCAAAACCCTAAGACACGGAAACATAGGCCTTCTCTGACTAAAGAAGGGAAAAACACAAAGAACAAAAAAGACAATACAAGATCTTTTTCTGTCCAGATTCTTTTATGTAGTAGCCAAATGCAAATTACAGCCTCCATCCAAGCTAGACTGTTAGACATTTTAATTGGAATCTGAGGTGTTGAGCCAGGCCTCAGAATTGTCAACATCTCATTACATGGACCTCGTTTTATGAAATGAGACCAAGTTCAACAAAATTGCAGTTGTGATCAATACATTTCTGAATGCAATTGAGAAATATAATAAATTAGGAGAACAGAATTCTGTCCCTAATGCTTTTCCACTGGTACAAAGAAACATTTATCAAGTGCCAAAAACATTCATAAAAATTAACTAAGGAAACATACCTGGAGCTTTCATTATGAATTATAAAGTAGCAGGATTTGAGAGATTGAGAAAAAGTTATTAAAAACAGAAGATCCAGTCCATCTTCACAATAAGAGTAAGCAAAGGTGGTTTCATCTTGGGTTCAGATATAAGAAATCAGTGAAGCTAAATTGTAGCTCTCAAGAGGAAACTAGACATAAGATATTTAGAGAAAGCAGGAGGCCCCTGCCTCATCTACTGTATTCCAGCTCCTCAGAAGGAGGAAAGAAGGAATCTACTGCACAAAGGGAAGGCTCTTGAAAATCCTGTTCTGAGGGGTCATTTTTAGGGCGTTGACAAGTTCCCTGGAAAGGATGTTCCCTTCTTTGGGATATCAACTCAGACCTTTAAGTGTCTGTTGAAAGACAGAAAGGAGGAAGGAGTCATACACAAATAGATGAATTAACTCATGGTCAGGATTTTCTAACAGTTCAGTTCTTGGTGGCTTCTTTCTCCTCTCCTGCGACTATCTATCTCCAGGCAAGAAAAAAAAAAAAAAAAAAAAGACAACAGTGGCTCCCCTGAATTCTCCCATCAGGAAGAATTACACACACAGGTAAAATGTGACACAGATACCATACACCTCTATAAAGGAATACCTGAGGCTGGCTAATTTATAAAGAGAAGAGGTGTATTTGACTCATGGTTCTACAGGATGTACAGGAAGCATCGTGCCAGCACCAGCATCTGAAAAAGACCTCAGGATGCTTCCACTCATGTCTGAAGATGAAGGGAGCTGGTGTGCAGACATTACATGATAAGATAGAGAAAGCAAGAGAAGACAGAGGCACCAGGATTTTTTTTTTTTTTTCTTTATTTTTTTGAGACAGAGTCTTGCTGTGTCACCCAGGCTGGAGTACTGTGGCGTGATCTCGGCTCACTGCAACCTCCACCTCCTGGGTTTAAGTGGTTCTCCTGCCTCAGCCTCCCAAATAGCTGGGACTACAGGTGCATGCCACCACGCTTAGCTAATTGTTTTTTTTTGTTTGTTTTGTTTTTTGACATGGAGTTTCACTCTTGTTGCCCAGGTTGGAGTGTAATGGCGCGATCTCAGCAACCTCTGCCTCCTGGGTTCAAGAGATTCTCCTGCCTCAGCCTCCCAAGTAGCTGAGATTACAGGCACCTGCCACCATGCCTGGCTAATTTTCACCATGGTGGCCAGACTGGTCTACTGACTTCAAGCAATCTGCCCATCTCAGCACCCAAAATACTGGGATTACAGGTGTGAGCCACTGTGCCCAGCCCAGGCTCTTTTCAACAACCAGTTTTCGTGGGAACTAAGAGTGAGAACTCACTTCCTTGAGAATGGTACCAAGTCATTCACCATGGGGGAGAGCTCTACCTCCATAATCCAAACATCTCCCCGCAGGCCCCTGCTCCAACAATGGGGATCAAATTTCAACATGAGACTTGGCGAGGTCTCCAGATCCAAGCCACAGCAGTCAGGTGCTGCTCTAAGCATGTTACATTTATTACCTCATTTCATCCTCACAACTCTTAGGAGGTTAAGTGGTATTATCACTGCTGTTTTGCAAATGAAAAAATTGAGAAACAGAGAAGTAAAACATATCTCAAGGGCATACAGCTAGGAAACAGCAAAGCCAAAATTGAACCAAATGTCTGGTCTCAAAGCCTGTGCCATACTAAAATGGTTCCTACTGATCTTTTAAAGATGAGAAAACTGATTCTAAGAGGTTAAAATGTGCCTACTGTTACGCCAATCAATGGGTCCTGAAGTAGAACATACACCCAAGCCTAATTTCAGTGCTGGGAACAACCATATTGCCAGGGCAGCAGTCGGGAGACAGGGGAAAGAGGGCCCAACAGTGTTGTGGGAAGTCAGGGACCCCGAACAGAGGGACCGGCTGAAGCCATGGCAGAAGAACATAAATTGTGAAGATTTCATGGACATTTATTAGTTCCTTAAATTAATACTTTTATAATTTCTTATGCCTGTCTTTACTGCAATCTCTGAACGTAAATTATGAAGATTTCACGGACATTTATCACTTCCCCAATCAACACTCTTGTGATTTCCTATGCCTGTCTTTAGTTTAATCTCTTAATCCGTCATCTTCATAAGCTGAGGATGTATATCACCTCAGGACCCTATGATGATTACGTTAACTGCACAAATTGTTTGTAGAGCATGTGTGTTTGAACAATATTAAATCTGGGCACCTTAAGAATAGGATAACAGCGATTTTCAGGGAACAAGGGACATAACCTTAAAGTCTGGCTGCCTGTGGGCTGGGCAGGACAGAGCCATATTTCTCTTATTACCAAAAACAGCTGAATTCTTTCCCCAGTGAGGAATATTAATTAACAGCCCTGGGAAAAGAATGCATTCCCAGAGGAGGCCTCTGAAATGGCCACCCAGGAGTGTCTGCCTTATGCAGATGTAGATAGAGATGAAACATGCCCTAGTCTCCTTCAGCACTACTAGGCTTGCTAGGATTAGAAAACTCCAGCCTGGAGAATTCTAGTCAGATATGTTCTCTGTTCTTGAACCCTGTTAAAATGTTTATCAATGACAAGGCATACACAGTGGGACGTGGAAGTTCATTAGTGATTTTAGTTTCGCCCTGACCTTGTGATCTCGCCCTGACCTTCTGCCTTGTGATCTTTTTTTTTTTTTTTTT